GGAAGTCAAAATAGCCTGCTTCCTATGGGGGTATATCTAGAGACTATTCAGCCATCATCACCAATCAACTCTTGTTTTTAATACATGAACACTTGGGAGAATGTTAGCTTATCAGAACATTGAAGCTGTCAACCAACAAAGCTCTAAGGGAAAAAGGACACAGGTTAGGAAAGCTGTGATGGATGAGGGGGAAAATTTGGAAGCGCCAGGAGGCAGGGTTGAGAAATGAAATCAATACTTTCCCAAATTCATGTGGGGATTTGGCCACATCCCTGTTATTCCCAGTCTGTCTGGGGCCAAAGGAAGCCAAATATAATCCAGTTGTGATGAGTGATGAGCAGCTGTTTTATGTTAACGTTGTCTGAGACTGGGAACTTCAGGAAAAAAAAAGCCTCAAGGAGCAGGTGGCTCCATGGGTGAGGCTTGATGGGAGACTCAGGTCTGCCTAATGATGCTGCCTAAGAGTCAAAGAAGTCTGTGATTAGAAGTGAATGGATCTGTAATTTTGTAACTACGGGGGACTTCCTGGAGTGGTAAATCTCTATGCTGATGCAGATTGCACAGCAGGGTGGAACCCATGGCTGTGATTTAGTAGACAAATCTTAGAGAGTTGCTTGAGGCACCGTGTATAGTAATAACCAGTACATGTCAAAGGTGGGATTTGGACATGGGTCATCCAGAGGTTAAGACCAATAACTTTTCCTCTATCCTATGATTTCTCTACTTTAGATTAGACAAATGAAAAAAGAGATCCTACGTGTGTTGGTGGAGATTAGCATATGGTCTGGCAATAAATGACCTCTATAATCTAATTGTCAGGATAATCAGTCTACTTGTTAGAGCCCTAGAGGAGCAGATAAGGTCAATCAATCAATAAGCACTTATTAACTGCCTACTATGTGTCAGGTACTGTGCTAAGTGCTGGAGACCCAAAAAGAGGCAAAGATAGTCCCTGCCCTCAAGGAGCTCACAATCTAATGGGAGTGACAGCAAGCAAACAAATATATACAAACATGATATATACACAATAAACAGGAAATAATTAATAGAGGGAAGGCACTGGGATTAAGAAGGGGTGAAGAAGGCTCCCTGTAGAAGATGAAATTTTAGTTGGGATTTAAAGGAGTCCATGGAGGTCAGTGGTTGAAGCAGAGAAGGGAGAGCAGTCCAAGCATGAGGACAGTCAGAGACAGTGCCCAGAGCCCAGAGATGGAGTGACTTGTTTGTGGAACAGCCAGGAGGCCACTGTCACTGGATAGAAGAGGTAACAGATAAGAATGCTGGGGAGGCAAACTGCTGAAAGTCTAGATACAAAAGAAAAGAAGATGGTTGAGAAGATGAATTTCTGTGAGTAGAATATAGCTCCAGAGGTCTTAATGTTTTCTGTGGCACGCCCCCCTTGGCAATCTGGTGAAAAGCGTGATGCCCCTTAACAGAATCATGTTTTGAAACAACTGAGGTTAATGTTAAATTTTAGGAGTAGTTAATGAAAATGAAGATGTATTTTTTTCCCCTTCAAGTTCATAGACTCCCTGAAATCTATTCACAGAAAATCCTTGGGGGTCTATGTACTCCAGGTTAAGAACCCTTGATCTAGAAATTGCCACTGAGTCATAATTCAGGTGGCTAAGGCATGCCTGAGGAAATTTATTTTCAAAGGAACCAATTTATCAAGAGATTTGAGGTGCTACAAGAATTCTCCTGGTCTTAAGGTGAAGGGGAAATAATTAGGAAGGATGTGAGGATATGAAGGATATTAGATGGTGTGTGTGTGTGTGTGTGTGTGTGTGTGTGTGTGTGTGTGTGTGTGTAATAAGATAGGACTGGGAGAAATAGAAGAATGAAGATGGGCAAAGATGGTGTAGGAAAAACAAGGAGTAATCCAGTCCAGTTCTCTTCCACAACTATTTAAACAAAAATTGAGGAAGAATATAAGAGTAAAGAGTGATCAGGAAACCACAATGGATCATTCTTCCAACCCAGGCCAGCATAGGGAAACAGCCAGAGGCCTGCAGGCACTGAGCAGGAGTTCCAGCTAGGAAGGCCTAAGAGGACCCTGGCAGCACCAGGACTGGGCTGAGCCCTGTGCCTGTGTATCATGAGAAGGAGAGGTCATGGTCAGGATGAACAGAAGACAATTATGCTGCTCTGACCTAATGCAGACCAAGACTGGAACCTGCAGATGAATACCAGGGCAAGGAATGGAATCCCTAATAGAGCAGGGAGCAGGGACAAGAGTAAACCTGCAGTTATGTCATTCAGACCTTAGAACAGCACCTCAGATTCAGTCCACAGACCCAAGCTAGGGCCAACAGCTGAGTAACTAGGGTAGTGAGCTCACACTAAGGGTGAGCCAGCAGTTCTTTTGCTCTGAACTTAGAGAGCTTTCCAGAGAGCTAAAAGGGATTGGAATCAGCAGCTGTCAACTGGAGCTCCAAACTAGGGTGAGCTTGTAGGTGTATCACCCAGATCCACGACCTAGGACTCAGAGACTACAAAGCTAAGAGAGGGAAGGGAGAGATCATGCTTTGCCCTATATTAGACCATGTAGGCTGTGTTGAAAGTTTGTAGTTGCCTGGTTTGAGGTCCCCCTAATATTCTTGAAGAATGTGGCACTCAATACCCAGAGAAACCTGCCAGAGAAAACTAAAGAATACAGATCAATATCAAATAAGGCCCAGACATTCCATAAATACACAAAGTCTAGCCTCTACACAAAGTCTCAATTCAGGAATTAAGGCTAGAAGAGTCAGTAAACAAAAAAGATACCCATTATAAAGAGTTATTAATGTGCAGAGACACCAAAGACATGAACTGACAAGAGAACAACCCCAAATTATCTATAAGCAGAGCCTCAGAGAAAAACATAAGTTGGTCACAAGGGAAAACAGAATTCCTGGAAGAAATCAAGCAAGAGTTAAAAATTCATATTATAAATCAAATTCAACTTCAAAAGATAGAAATAGAGAAGAAATGAAAGCACCAGGGTAAAGATTTGGAAGAATTAATAATTTAGTATATGAGGTACTTAGCCAAATAACAAATGCCTAAAAGGTGAGAATGACTCAAATACCAATTAATAATTTCATGAAATAAGAAATAGTCAAATAAAGCCAAAAGACTAAAAAAAAAAGAATAAAATACAAGGTTCCTCATGTCAAAACAACTAATGTGGATAATTATAGGATGACCTGAAAGATGTGATCACAAAAAGAGTCTGTATACCATATGTCATAAATCTATTAGAACCAAAGAGCAAAGTAAAAATATGAAGAATCCATCATTCTCTTTCTTAAAAAAAAAAAAGAAAATTCCCAGGAATACAATAACCAAAATTCACAGCTTCTAGGTTAAAGAGGGAAAAAAGTTAGAAGCATGTATAAAGAAAGAGATCAAGTACTAAGGATCCACAGTCCAGATCACACAACATCTAGAAGCAACCATTACAGAGGAGAGAAGAGATTGGAATATGATATTCCAAAAGACAAATTACACACACACACACACAAACACACACATCTGCAATTAACGACCACTAACCCAGAAGAAATGAGTACAGTCCTACAGAGGATAAAATGAGTTGCTGATAAAACGAAGGACTTCCAAGCATTTATAATTAAAAAAAAAAGACCAGCACTGAGAAGAAACTTAAAATGCAAATACAGGCATCAAGAGAAACATAAAAAGGGTTAATATATTTGAATAATTAGAAGGGACTACACAGATTGAAATTTTGCATTCTAATGGGGGGAGAAGAAGTAGATGTTCCCTAAGAGCCCTAAAGTCCTGAAAGCTCTTAAGGGCAAAGTTATAGGAGTGATTTTGTTAGGCTTTTAAAAGAAGAAATGAAAGAGAGGGGGAAAGGAATAAATTAGAGAAGAAGAGGAAGGTACAGTATGGGGAAATTTTCCCACATATTCAGGGTGCTAAAGTGGAAGATCATACAACCAAAGAAGAGAAGGTGGGGAAACAGCTGGCTTTTCAGCCTCTCTTTTATCTGAACTCAAAAGTCAAAAGAGTCAAAAGAGAATAGAACACATATATACATCCATAACCACACTCACAAAGAATTTAATGCAGATGAATGAATGGAGTCAAGCTTAACATTGACCTATGTCCCTGTAAAGTACACACCTCTACCCTTACCCCCCCCCACACACAGGCAAGACGTGTGTGTGTATGTGTGTGTATAATATTATACATGACATGTATAAACATAAACACACATATAGGCAAGGCAAAGTAACATCCTAGGGTCACAAAATTCATACATATCTGAGACAAGATTTGACTTTGTCTTCCTCCAAGTGCACCTCTTTCCATATGCTCCCTGACTGTGGAAGGAACATTCACATGGACTTCAAAGTGCACTTTGTCACCCAGAATTACTTTGCATTTACTTTCCGAATATTTTGTATTTACTTCTCTGCCTACCCATTGTTTTTGCCTGATAGAAGGTAAGACCCCTCAGGGCTGGGACTGTTCGGTTTTGAGCTTTACCTCCCTAGCACCTACCATAGAGCTGAGTGTAGAGTAGCCTCCTAATGAATGTTTGCTGAATGCAATAGGTGGTTCCCAGGTGTCAGCCGAAGCCTCCCCAACCACACCCACAACAATCCCTGATCCCAACTTGGCATGTAGTATATTGGGACTCTCCTTCTCCATAATCATTCATGTGTATGCTGTTTCCCTATCCAACTAGAATGTAAGCTCCTTCAGGGGTACAGACAGGCATTCTCCCGTTCCTATCCCCCATTGGCTGCTATCAAATCCACTACGATGACTGAGAATGTTAGAACCGGAGGGGACCAGGGCTACTTCAATCTGGTCACATGTGAGTACAGTGCAGACCAGAGAGGTGAATTAACTTGCCCAAGGTCACACAGCCAATTACTGGCAGAGCCTGGATTAGAGGCCATTTCTCCTCACCACTGAATTAATATCAAACTTCAGGGAGCTTCCAATGAATACAGTCAGAGGAACAGTTTAAATCAGCAAACCTGGTCGCAGTTGGATGAGTACCTCCCCAGGGCTGACTTGAGTGTTCACTTCACTTCCAGTGGGTATCGTCACACCGACCGAAGGGGATTCTATAAAATCGGACAAGCAGCCTTTGCTTACTAAGTTGGAAACCATGTCACAACGTTCACTTGCTGCTGCTCCAGCCATGAAGTCCTGTTAAGAAGCAAAAGTACTGGTGGTTTGAAGGCATGCAACATCTGTTTGACTCAAAGAAATCCAGATTAGTGTTCCCAGAAATGGGATCAAGATGTATAACACCTGGGGACATACAAATGGCCAGAGAATTTAATTTAGTTTAATTTAATTCTATCCAATTCAGTTCAACAAACATTGTGCCAGACACTTTGACAAAAATGAAAGAGTCTCTGTCCTCATTGAGATTACATTCTATAAGGAACCCACAATAGGCATACATGGTCAAGAAAAAATGGCCAACCCATCATAAATGGTGGTTATATTAATGGTCATTTCCAAATTTTTGAAAAGAAGGTAAATCAAGAATTAGGTACAAAATGAAAGAACAAGGAATACTTACTAAGTTTAATTGAATTGGAACATTCTGAATAAGCTATATTTGTAAGAAGCAGTACTAGGTATAGCAAATGCTGTTAACTAATCACAGTAGAAAATTGCCTTGTTAATGCTTCCTGAATAATGGCCTGGGGAAAGAAATGTAACCAGAGTGGAACATTTGTTCATTCCAAATATGAAACTGAATTTGCAGAGAAGCCAACTGGTCATTTATTATAGATCGTGGTGTTAGAATACTCTATCAGAAAGCAGGCACCAATCCAAGCTGAAAAAGTAAGAGGCAGCAAGATGCAGGGCAAAGCCCAGTGAGCTTAGAGTCAGGAGGACTCAATTCTAGGTCTATCCAATTAGCTCTGGGTCTTGGCTCATTCTCATCTCTCTGCAAATTTGTTTCTTCACACATGAAATAATGGGTAAGACTATATGAGGTCTAAGGTGCCATCTAGCTTTAAGATTAGAGGCCTGAAGTGTTTACACACATAAATAATATAAATAATAACGATAATGATAGTTGACATTTATTTAGCACTTTAAAGTTATAAAGTGATACATACATATGTGTATGCAAGCATACATATATATTATGTGCATGAAGAATATATAAATATATATACTAGTGTATATGCTTTATTTTATCTATCTATCCAGTGAGAGAGAGAGAAAGAGAGAGAGAGAGAGAAAGAAAGAGGTCACCCCTACTCAGGGACTTGTAGAGGAAAATTCTCTATATATTCATATTTGGATATACATATATTATATACATGACACATATATACACATAGACATAGGGGTAGATATCTCTTATCTCTATAATCACATCTGGGCCTTATGAGAAGTATGCAAAGCTGACATTACAGATATCATTACCCCTTTTATATAGATGAAGAACCGAAAGTCAATTGCCAAGCATTTATTAAGCACTTTTTACGAGTCACTCAGGAACATGTGAGTTCAAATCCGGCCTCAGACACTTAACAGATGTGTGACCTTGGGCAAATCACTTAACCTCTGTTTGCCTCAGAGGCAGTTAGGTGGCTTAGTGGATAGAGTGCTAGGCCTGGAATCAGGAAAACCTAAATTCAAATCTAGGCTCTGATATATCCTAGCTGTGTGACTCTGGGCAAGTCACTCAACCTCTTTTTGCCTTAATCTGCTGGAGAAGGAAATGGCAAACCACTCCAGTATCTTTGCCAAGAAAACCCCATGGACAGTTTCAGAGAGCTGGACCCTGGAGTAACGATGTGTCAGGCACTGTGCTGGGAATACAAATACAAGCAAAATGAAAGACAAGTCCCTGGTCTCAAGGAGCTTACATTCTGTAAAAAGGGAAGACAATTCAGAAAAAGGAGCTGAACAGCAGGAGGGGAGGGGAAGTGGAGAGTGACAGAGAAATCCAGATAGTTGGAAGTAGAGTCCAAAAGGAGTGAAGAAATGAATATGGCTGGCCTGGACACTTGAAGTGGCGGGTTCTAGAGGATCCAACCAATCAGAGGAAGGTGCCACCACAGGGGAGTGATTTTGGAGGGTGAGAAGTCTGTAGCAGAGTAAGTGAAGGTTCACCGTGTAGGGAGCTAAGGTTGCTGTGGCATGGTGAAGAAAGAAGTTGAAAGAGTCATAAGCAGAGCCCAGGGCCAATGAGTGCACCATGCTGGGTCTGCATGCAAGTCTTGTTGAAAGTCCACCACCTTAGCTATCAGCCCAAGTTGCATTTCTGAAATGAAGCTCTCTTAAATTCTTGAACTCAATTTCCTGGTCTCAGTTACCTCATTTGCAAAATGGGGATAAAATGCCTATTGTGCCCACCCTGTAGCATTGGGATGAGGCTCAAATGAGCAGGCTACAGTGCCAAAAGGAGCATTGGATTTGGAGTTAATGGTTATGGGTATGAAGTCTACTTTGATGACTTACTAGTAACTGGTGGAACTCTGGCCAAATTACTTAACCTCCTGTACCTCAGTTTCCCCATATAAAATGAAAAGTAGCATAGGTGTGAATGGTTTAAGAGGTGGACAGTCAGAAAAAAGGTTTGGCTCTCTCCTCCAATTTAAATCCTATGTGTTCCAGCTAAACCTTGACTTCCCCTATTCCCCTTTTCTCTGCCTAAGTATGCAACTCAAGCCTTTATGTCTGGCTCTGGGGTTCTCTCTCTGTAAGACAAATCCACAATCAAAGAAACACTTGGATAAAAGAAGTGAGAAGAGAATATGCCAGTGTTTATTATTGGATAGCCATGATGAGGGAAAGTTGGCAAAATAAATAGACATTTTGGAACTTTTCTCAGGCTTCAAAGAGCTCCTTACAATGGGCACTTTAGTCCAATTCTTTGCCCAAGGTTCCTGCAGACAGCTAATGGCCAACTCAGTCTCTTTCCCTTCCTTCTATCTTCTTTTTCTCTTTACCCATTGCCCTCATGCCATCCCTCATCTCCAGCTTAGCCCATTAAGTCTGAGTGTAGCTGAGGAATCCTACCCACTGTTGATGCTTCTGAGCTAATTCTTCCAGTCTGTTCTGTCATACACCATTAAAAATGTTTGTCCAAATATTTTACTTTAAAACATTTTTCTTATTCATTTATTTTTGTATTAAGTTTTATTTTTTTCATTTATAAAGCATTTATTTTTTTCCTACCTTCTTTCCACTGGAAAAAAAAAGAAGAAAAATGAACAGGAAACCAAAACAAATTATAACAAGTTGTCATAGTCAAACAAAGCAAACTCCATTATTGGCCAGGTCCAAGAATGAGTATCTCACGCTGCATCTTGAGTCCATCACTTCTTTCCATCGGGAGGTGGGGCAAACTTCATCCTCAGTCCTCTGTAATCATGACTTATCATTGCATTGATAAGAGTTCTTAAGTCTTTCAAATTTTTGTTTTTACAATTTTGTTCTCATAATTTCATTATGAGCCTTCCTGAGTTCCCCTGAAATTGTCTTCTTTATTTCTTACGGTACAATAGTATTTCATTGCATTCATTTACAATAATTTGTCCAGCAATTCCTCAATGGATGTGCGCATCCTTAATTTCAAATTCTTTGCCTCTATAAAAAGAGCTGATATAAATATTTTTCATATATCTGAATCCTTTTCCTCTCTCTTTGATCTCTTTGGGACATAGGCCTAATAGAGGTTGTTGCTAGGACAAAGAAATGCACACTAAATATGACTTTTGGGACAAAGTTCCAAATTGCTTTATAGAATGGCTGAACCTCCTCACTGCTCCATCATCAGTGCGTTAAGGTGCTTCTTTCCCCTACAGCCCTTGAAATATTTATCATCTTCCATTTTTGTCAACTTGGCTAATCCAATGGGTATGAGGTAACACCTGAGAGTTACTTTCACTAACATTTCTCTAGGAATTAATGATTTGCAGTATTCTTTCATATGGCTACAAATTGCTTAGGCTCTCTTCCCATGAGAACTGTTTGTTAATGTCCTTTAATTATTTCTTAATTGGGGAATGACTCTTTGTTCATCTATGTCAAAGCTCCTAAGCATAACTTGAGTCCACTTTCTTGGTCAAAGGTTGTCAGGGAAATCACTCACAGAGCCGAAAGGAATCCTTGTCCCTCTAAATTACAAGACCCAGAGTGGTGGCCAGTTCTCAAAGTATTCTTACAAAGTGATTTCATTAGATTGCTTTAAGGTTCCTTGCTGTTCTAAATCCATGACCCTATGATGACATATGTATATGTATATGTATATGTATATAGAGGCTGTGTATCTGTATATACACCCACACGTACGTATTGTGTGTATATCTACATATTGCTTTGCAAGTTTTAAAGAACTACATAAATGCCAGTTGTAATAATTCCTATTATTGTTATTATTTTATTCCTTGTCACCATCATCAGACCTGATAACTCATAAGTGCCTGAGGATAGACACTGCCTCAGAAAATCCCCCTTATTATTAATCATATCACATCCAACTATACTGTCGAAGGCCCGGGCTGGATCAGCCATCCTAAAGTGGGACAGAATGCCAAAGTATGGCAGACAGCCAAACACCTAAGGAATTTGAAACACATGAACAAATCATCAAGATAATTTGGGCCCAGAACTACAATCAAATGCGACACTACCTCCTCCCCCACCCCCAACACACATCTTCCTCTTGGAAAAAAAACAAGCAAATCAACAAATAAAACAACTTTCTAAGCTTCACATATTTTTCCCCCAGTTCCAACGGCATGGAGTAGAAAGTACATTACACTTTGAGTCAAAAAACCTAGGTTCAAATCCTAGCTTTGCTCTTTTCTACTTGTGTGACCTTAGGTGAGTCATTTCAACTCTACAGACCTCAGTTTCCTCCCCTGTCAAGTGAGAAGCTGAGTAGATAATCTGTGAGGTCCCTTCTAGCTCTGGAGGGATGATCTTAAGGGCCCTGAAGTAATTATGGAGGGCACTGGAAGCCCTGGCTTTATATCTCAGCTGAGGACTCTCCAGGCTGTGGTAGGCATCGGATGTCACCATCATTGGGGCACTAGAAACCTTGTGGTTTGGGACAGGAACTATTCACTTGCAGCTGAAGAGCAATGGAGTGGTTCTTGTCAAATGCACGTCACTGACTTTGAGCATCAAGAGAAGTAAAAAAAAAAAAAGATGGATTGAAACAGGTA